AGTTGCAAATTCGGTTGGTTTTTTCTCGACATCTTATCATAAACATTTGCTTCCCTTCTGTTTTGTGCTCCAAATTATAATCTAGCATCTGTATGGGTGTGTGATAAAAAGTGTGGCACACTTTCAGACCCTGGAGTGATCATAAGAAAAGATGCAAAAGGCAGGGCACCAGGTGACTCGCACCTGTAACTCTTGCTACTCTGGAGGCAGAGATCAGGAGGATTGAGGTTTAAGGCCAGCCTGGGCAAAAAGAAAAACCCTCTCTCAAAAATGTCCAACACAAAAATGTTTGGTGGAGTGTGGCTCAAGTGGTAGAGCACCTGCCTACCAAGCACAAGGCCCTGAGTTCAAACCCCAGCATTAAAAACAGCAACAACAACAAAGAACTTAGAAAAAAAATAACACAGTCCTTACACCCAGAGAAAACAGACAAAGGAAATGAGAGGGTGTGTGTCAAGGAATCAGAACGCAAACAAAAGTTGACAGGAACACTGATAAATGCTGAAGCATGGCTGAAAACCATGGAGAGAAACACAAGTAACCACTGTGAGAAAACGTGGGGAGGGAATCATAACAGACTCAGAAACGCCTGTAGACACACATTTGATGGTGTGGACAAAACGAACTAGAAATGAATCAGAGAGCTGTGATACCATTTCTCAGCAAACCGACACAGAAGAAACCAAGTCTGAATAATCACATAATTAACTTAAGAACCCGTGTTCATGATTTAAAGTTTATACACAAAAACAATGCAGATACAGACGGCTTCCCTAACAAAGTCTACCAAATACGTAAGAATGGCTTATATAAATCTTACTCAAATTCTTACTTAGAAATCAAAGCAGGGCATCCTTCTGCTCATTCTACAAGGCCAGCTTATCACGCATTCTGAAAATCTGAAAAAGAATGCAAACTAAAGGATGCAGAACTCTAAAACCAAATGTTGCCAAGCTAAATCTCACAATAGATAAATGGAAAATATGTCAGAACCAGGTTGAATTATTCCAGAAAGGCAAGATTGGTTTACTGGGGTTTGAACTCAGGGCCTCCACTTACTAGGCAGGCGCTCTACCACTTGAGCCACTCTGCCAGCCTGAGACAATTTCCTTAATCTGATAAAGGGTGTCCAGAAAACATCATTGTAAGTAGGGAGATACTCAGCCCCCTGTGCACCCAAGTGACACCTGGACACTGGTTATCATCACCCCTCAATGTCCCACTAAGCCCCAACCGCCACCGCAAAGAAAGAAAAGCAAGGGTGTCCGAATCATGAAGAAAGACCCGTGACCCTGCCAGTCACAGCCAGGGTGGACGTGAATGAAAGGAATCCAGACAGAGCAGTCAGTCCTACAAATTAACACATGCACTTAGCAAAGCTGCCAGACGCCTCGTTGGCTTTTCTGCACATCAACAAAAAAGAAAAGGTAACGCCAAAGGTAACATGGTCATAGCGTTAGAAAAAAACACGAGGAAAGGGGCAAACGCAGATAGAGATGCATGAAATCGCTATCAAAGTTATCAAATAATATTGCAGACATTAAAGAAAACCTCTATAAACAAGTAGCTATTCCATACCCTTGGGTTATAATACCCAACATGTTAAAGACAGAATTTCTCCCCAGATACACCCCCAAGACCAGCAGGTTCCCATCAAATACAACATGCTTTCTGTAGTTTCCTAGCTGAGTCTAAATTCACATGATATTCCCAAGTCAAGAGCAGCTGAGACACCCCAAGGAAGGGGGGATCTTGTTTTGCTGAACATCAAAAAGATAACAGTAATTAAGGCCAGAAGTGGTAGCTTACACCTGTAATACCAGCTACTCAGGAGGTAGAGATTGGGAGGCAAGCAGTTCTAGCCAGCCCAGGCAAACCTTGAGACCCTATCTCAACCCTAACCAAAGCAAAAAGGGCTGGAGGCTTGGCTTAAGTGGTACAGCACCTGCCTAGCAAGTGCAGAGACCCTGAGTTCAAACCCCAGTAACTCCTCCCTCCCCCCAAAAGAAGATACAGTAATTAAGCTGCCAGGACAGAGGACACACTAGCCAAACAGAAGAGGCAGCCCACACAGACTGAGACTAAGTGGGCAGAACTCACGACAAAGCTAGTTGTGCAGAAGAGGGCAGAAGGGACTCCCTTCTCACCTGATGTTACCCTGGCCTCTGTGAGTAAGATGAAGTAAAGTGTAGCCCCTCCACCCCACTTCATGCAATCCACAAAAACATGCTCTAGATGGGATGTGGACCTAAGTAGGATAAAAATCATAAAGTCCTAAAGACTGCATTAGAAATGTCTTCGAAAGGGCACAAAGGGCTAATGAGAAATAAGATCACATAAAAATAAGAACTCCTGCCCACCAAAGGACAGCAGTAAGAGCATCCCAGAAGAGAAGACATACAGTGATAAAGGACCCACACCCCGTCCTGCCATCTCCAGCCCTGTCACTTTCTGAAATAAAATGTAAAGGAATAATTGTGGGGTTATTTTTACAAAGAAAAGTAGTCCTGGAATGTTCTTCGATGAGTTCACTGTGTGGACAAGGAAGCAGAGGCACGGGAACTTGGACCTGGGGTCTCACAGGCCCCGAGCTTTTCCCCTGTATTAGGCTGGATGAAGACAGAGGCCAAGGAGGAAACAAGTACATCATAAAATAAGCCCCCAAATTCAACACCCTTTTTCATTAAACAACAACAAAACAAAACCAGAACTAGAACAAGGCAACTTCGTCATACTGGTCAAGACGTCTGAGAGACCCACAGGCAGCCCCACACTCGCTGGGGAGGGACCTGCCACTCTCACCTACGATCAAGGTGGATGTGCCACTGGACTCCTCCACTCAACACTGGGTTAGATGTCCTCGTAGCCAGGACCACCAGGCTGGAAGAAGAAGTAAAAGGCGCCCAGCCTGAAGACAGAAGCAAACCCATCTCTCTGCAGGTGGCACGGGCTCCTGATGCCCATGCAGAAAAGAAAAGACAAAGGAATCCGCTTTAAAAACAGCATCCAAAACTAGCAAGTCTAGCAAAGTTCCAGGGATGAAGACGCGAGAATGAACTGCTTCATTCTTTACACTAACCGTGAACATTCTGAAGATGAAATTAGAAAACAACTCATTTTACAATAATATCAAGCAGAAGAAAATACTTGGGAAGAAATTTAACAGAAGTGTTAAGACTTACATGCCGAAAGCTACACAGTGTTACTGAATGCAGTTAAAGACCTGGTCATATGGAGAGAGCCACGCTGACATTCAAGGACTCAGCCTCTATTTCTAGCTAATATACAGAGTCCATGACGGCCTCACCAAAATCCCAGCTGTCTTCTGTGCAGGATCAAGAAGCCAGAAACCTACTTTCCAGATCAATGATGGTCAACAAGGACCTCAGACAACTCAGTGGAGAAGGAACTGTCTTTTCAACAAATGGTGCTCCATAACTGAAGGCCCAAGTGCAGAAGGATGAATCTGGACCTCTACCACAATCAGGTACCAAAGTGACTCAAAGTGAGTGATAAAACTGCAAAAACCTCAGGAGGAAATACAGGAGAAATCTCCAGCCTTGGATTAGACCATGAGTTCTAAGATATGATACCAAAAATATAAGTTATTATACCAAAAATATAAGATACGATGCCAAAAATCTAAACAAGAGAAAAAAATAAATCTGCAAATTTAAAGTTTTAAAGCTTTTTGCTGCGAAGACCACACCAAGAACATTAATTGGAAATCCCCAGATGGGAAACCCTTTAAGTCACGGTTCTCATGAATTTGAATCACGCAGGCAAGAAAGCTGATCCAATTTACAAACAGGCAGAGGCACGAAATGGACATTTCTCCAGAGAAGATGCAAGGCAAGCACAGGAAAGATGCTCTGGTCAGAAGGACGCAAGTCCAAACCCCGCAGCTCCCACGCCACACCACTGGTGGCTCTAATCAAGAGTCCACTGTTGACTGCAGGCTGAGTCCCACGCCCTCCTGCCTCCTGGAGGGAGCTTAAGGTGGAAAACCTCACACGTAGTGGTTACCACAACCCTTCAATTCCACCTTAGGTAGACACCCAAGTGAAATGAAAGCATGTCTCCACGCAAGGATTTGTGCAGAGCTGTCCAAGCGACATTCTTCACAATAGCTACCAAGTGGACACAACCCAAGTTCATGGATGATCCAATGAAGTGCCAATGTGCCATAGCCGTGCTGTGGAACATTGTTCTGTCATAAAAAAGGAGGAGCGTTCTGACGCTACACCAGCGGACCAGGAAAAGTGAAGGGCCGCACAGCTAAAGACCACACGGCCTGGCTCCACCTAATGACCCGTCCACAGAGGCCGATGAGGGGGTGTAGAGGAAGTGGGGGTGACTGCTAATGAGGGCAGAGCCTCCTTTTGGGGTGGTGAAAGGGTTCTAAAAATAATCCTGGCGGTAGTTACCAAAATTTGGTGAGGCTACTGAAACGTATACTTTTATTTTTAAGTGGAACTGGGGTTTGAACTCAGGACTTACATCTTGCAAAAAGCAGGCGTTCTACCTACCGCTTGAGCCACTCCTCCAGCTCAAGTGCACACTTTAAGATGAGTTATATGGTATGTGAACTCAATAAAGCTATTGTTTAAAAAAAATTAAAGGCAAACCGAGGTTTCCAACGTGTGTGCCTTAGGAAACCAACTAAGGAGCTGACGAATGAGACATGGTTCTCACGATGCGATTTTTAAAAATTAAACCTCAACCGAGCCTTTGCCAGGTTTGCCCACTTTCTCCTCCTCCGTCCGGGCCGCGCGTCGCAGGGTCCCGGCGCAGCCGGCGAGGGCGCACGGCGGGGAGGACGGGGCGGGCCGGGGGCGGCCGCCGTGACCTCGGGGCGTTGCCAGCGCCGCCCTGGGCGGCCAGCGATAGGTCCGTCCCCACCTGGGCGACCTGCGGAGCCGGGGGCGGGGAGAGGCGGTGCCGGAGGACGCGCGGCGGCCGCGGGTCGGGTCCGCGCTGCGGCTCCGGGGCGCGGCGGGATGTGGGCGCCGGGCGGCCCCCGGGCCTGCGGGCTGGGACCGCCGCAGGGTGGGCGCGCGGCTGCGCGCGGCGCTGGCCGGGCTGCATGAGCTGCAGGGCTTGCGCGCCACGCAGCAGGCGCGCGTGCGGGGCGCCCTGGCATGCAGCCCCCGCCCGGGCCCGCCGAGCCCCGCGGTCCCCGCGGCCACGAGCTGCGGCTGGAGGCGACGCTGGCCGCGCTGCAGGAGCAGCTGGTAAGGAGCGGGCCTGGTCACCTGCGCGGGCGGGCGGCGGCGGCGGCCAGCGGGTGAGGGGCTGTGTGATGCTCCGAGCGCACGTCCTTTGTGCTCCCCTGGGACGCGGCTCCATTCCCAAGGCGCGGAGGCCGGGCGCGGAGGCGCAAGCAGAGGGAACGTGCTGCGGGGCGCGATCGGGGCACGATCGGGGCACGATCGGGGCACGATCGGGACAAACACCTTTGCCTGCTGCTGACGCTGACAAATTGGGGGCGCGTGCCTGTGCGCTGAGTGACAGCGCTGTTTGACTCGATTTCTCCCGGCGGAAGTCTGCTAGCATCCGGGCCTCACCCTGGGGTCCAGGTCCTCCTGCTGCGTTGGATTAGGGACAATGGTGTCTGGGTGGAGGGGAAGAGTGTGTCTGATGAGGGCTTCTTCCACGTTAACATGTAACCTGAGTCGTGAAAAAGGCGTGTCTGCTGGTCTGCAGAGGTGGGAGAGGGGACCCTTGTTGCTTTCTCTACCTGCGTCTTTCTCTGCTACCTGGGCCCTTCAAATGTCGGTGTTCCTTTAAACCCATTGAAGGTACTCCACTTGTCAACTCCTGTGGCTGCCACGGCTGTGTATAATTTCTTATGACTTATTAGAAACACCCCCAGAGAGTTTTTGCAGTACTGCAACTTTTTAAAGAAAAATACAAATGCTATAGATGTCTATTTGGTTGAGTTACTTCTGTTACTCTAAGTGGAATTTCTTTTACTGTAGCAATTCAGACCTGTCTAGTCTCAAAGTCACCGCCCTCTTTACAAAGTTGCTGGGTGAAGCTGCTGCGTTCCTATCAGTTTAGCTCAGTCCCGTGTTAACTGGGGAAGGTTTGGGATTAAATAATCAGGAAGTCCAGTAGCTGGATATGCCCACCAGGACTCCTGTTATTTGCCCCATTACTAGCGACCAGAGGAGGTGGAGGCCTGGTGGAGAGTGGCCCAGACCCCAACTCTGCGCCTGGAGTCTGGGTGAGCCAGCTGCTGCCCCAAGAGAGGAGGTAGCTGGGGTGAGTGGGCCCTTCATACTGTAGGTCATCCACTGGTTGATCAAGTCACAACAGCAGATGTGAGGCTGGTGCCAGCCACACTCCCATCTCCCCACCCTCAGTCAGGCCCACCCAGACACAGTGGCGTTACCTGCGTGAATTGTTCTTGCAAGTGGGTGAGAACACGGTTCATGATTAACTCAACTTCACTTGAACAAATCAGACCTGTGAGTACTCAGCCTCTAATTGCAAGTAGTCTTGGAGGAAATCAAGCAGGTTTTTGTTTTAATTTTTTTTCTCAATGTGGAGACCAGAAGGAACATGCAAACTTTGCCTTGAAACTCTGTGGAGTGGATTGTGTGATCAAAAAAGAAAAGAGCTGAATTTGTGGGACATCAGCCAGTGCTTAACATGTTCACATTTTTCTTACAGGAAAAAAAAATTAGGAGTGATGCTAGTTCTTTAGTCAAGAAAACAATCAAAGAGCTTGAGTCCAGTCCAGTTAAACACTCCAGTGACTCCAGCCCATGCGGCTCCTCCCCCTCCCGCTCACCTGGCCTCAGTCATCACTCAGGTGTGAAGACAGGAAGAGGTTTATCTGAGCCTGGGCTGCTTCAGCCTGCAGGAATTCTCAAGTGAAGACGTGCTTTAGCACTTCCAGGGCTGCGCCCTTTTAATTGTGTGTCAAAGTCACAGAGAGAGCACAGCGGGAGGTACTTAGTAGGCTTTTGTTGAACAAATACATTAGCGAGTTTTATTGTTGGAACAAAAGGAGAGATGGTCCAGGATTTAGAGCTTCCTAGTCCATATTTCCATGCTAATACAACCTAGAGCCCTCTAACCTGCACTCTGCTGCAGTTGGCCTGGGCCTGTGCCTATTTTAAGGGAACTTGCCATTCCCAGGAAGCACCTGGCATTTCCACTTTATAAGGGCTGAGCTCCCCAGAGACCTTAAGTAGAAAGATGTCACCCGATCCCTGGCACTCAGGCCCAAGAGTAGTCTGAAAACCCCACCTTCACCAGCAGGTGCTGCTGCACCCATGGGAGAGGGGCCCTTGACTTTGCTGGTCGTGACTTGTTCTCAAAGTGGCAGCTTCAACAGCTCCTTTCATGGGCAGGCTCCAGGTTAACGCTGCAGGGGCGACCCACTGTCTGATCCGCAGCCGTAAGCAGGAAGCCTGGTGTTTGCCTTGGACCAGCCGTGCTTGCTTTGTGAACATGCTGGCAGCAAATGAAGGCAGGGCTGGGATCTTGGTGTCAGTCACCGTCTAGGACCAGGGTTCCTCCAGGGCTGCTGTGCTTATCGTCAGCAGTATGATCTGTGAACTTGTATCTTTGCTGTGGATTGATGGGGCTCTTCTAACTTAGCTATGGTCTTTACCCCCTACAGGAAGTCATCACGGAAAGAAAGGAAGTGTTTTAGATACTATCTCTGAATGTTAAGACACTTTTAACTTTTGTCCCCTTATTTTTTCTCCTGTAATTAGGCCATGAAGTTTTTATTAGGATGGCAAAGCAGATCTGTCTATAGGGTTGGGGAGCGGAGGGGGCACCAAGGCAAATGCAAATCAAGCCACTTACAAGAGGAATGTAAAGTGTAAAGTGAGCTTTTTGAAGGAAGGGAGGGTTAACAAGAATAGTGGAAACCCTGAGAGCTGAGCTGGGATTTCCAGTCAGAGATGTGAATACTAACCACAGAGCAGTGCATGCATGCCTGTGCACACACAGGGCCAAGGGCTTTAAAAGGGGGCAGAGAAGCAAGTAGAAGCTTCAAAGTGTGGAAGTAAGACCCAGCAAAGAAACTGAACTATCTATGGGTCCTGTGGTTTTATGATAGGAAAGGAAAATCATTTGTAGGAAAAAATAAACTGCTCCTTCCTGAGTCTCGGTTGTTTTGGGGGGCAGACGGTAACCAGACTGCTGCACAGCTCTCTTGGTAGTGCTGGGAAGTGGGTTACCTTTGTGACCATGTGCCTGCTGGACGCCAGGGTGTCTGGACCTGTCGGGTGTTCTGAGCACAGTTTTGTTTAGCTCAGGACTGGTTTGGCCGTGCTCATGTTCACAGACCTTGGCGGCTACTCCAATCCCCCAGGCAGGTCCTGAAAGAAAGGCTGAGTTGGAAAAGGTGGCGGACTGAGTGCTGACCCAGGCATCTTCAACCCAGCTCACCTAAACCGGGGGAAGGAGGGTGTGTTTGCCACTTGCATTTCCAACACCTCTGCAGAAGTGGCCTCCTCCTATGAACAGCACACCATTCCTACCTACCTGCTTCTCTGTTGCCATGATTTTCCACACCACTGGAGTTGCCAACAGAGCTCCCCACTGGAAGTGGATGAACCACATCAACGAATTTCTCAGTTACTTGCCTTATTTCCAATTGCTAATCAAAACAATAAATACACAGTGAGCCTGGGAAGCGGGGCTCACTTCCCAGCAAACAATTGACAGGAAGAAATCACATTCCCTAAACACTCGATGCTAGTTTTATAATATGTACGTATGTGTGTGTGTGTGTGTACATGATCACATGTACAGTTTACATGCATGCACATAATGCTCCCAATGAAAGACGGAGGATTCTGTACGTGCTCTGCATGTCTGAGCCTGAGGGCTTTGTCTCACAGTTTCGAAGAATGAAAATCCTAAGAATGAGTATAGCGGGAGCATTTACTGAGATAGAAGAGTAATAAAGAGTGGAACCCCCAGAACTGGGAGGGGTCCCAAGAAAAGGGTGCCCAAGAAGAGACGGGGTCTGAGGTTTTTATTCATTTTGTCCAGGGTTGTGCCATCTCTGGGCTAATTAGGTGTGGAGAGAGCAGCATTCTGGTTGGCTGTGCCTTCTGTGTTCTGATTGGTCGTGCCCTAATCTTCATACCATCCTTACTCTGGTCCATTCTGCTTTTTCTTCTTTCTGCCCTTTAAGGTCACAGGGAGGTCATAATGGAGGTTTTCAGGGACCCTTCTGCTCAGTAGATAGACACACACACACACACACACACACACACACGAGTTAAGGATCGTAACCACCCGTACAGATGGCACTGCTGAGTCAGGGACCGAGGCTTGGAGAAGAGCCAGACTGTTGGGCAGAGCTGCCCTCAAATGTGACCTCATGAACAAGAAGTTCCCTGGGCAAGTTTTCTAGGTGAAGCTGATTTCCAGGTCCTTACTGAGAGCCCCCTTCCCTGGAGCCCTCCCTAACCTCGGCAGATGGGAACACTGGTCAGGAAAGAGGCAGGAGTTGGGGTGCTGGAGGGCACCCTTTCTTTCTTCTTTCCCTAGGATGTGTTACCCTTACAACAAAGGCTGAACGTTCTCACAGCCAGGTGCCACAGCCCATGGGGCTGCTGTGTGAAGAACACTGTGACACCAAATAAATTCTTACCTAGAACTACAAGAAGTGTGGAAGCTGTTACCTGGGGTTCTGGCCCCAAGGTGTACTGTTCTGGTTTTGACCACGCACTCTCACGAGCAGAACTGTTCTGCATCCCTATGAAGGTGGATCTTGTTGGAAATTGCTGATAGCTTTTAGAAGTCTGCACTGGAGAGAAAATACCTGTGTGTGCATGTGTGTTTGTGCATGGTAGATGTGTGATCGTGTATATGTGTGATTGTGTGTATGTGTGTGGTTGTGTACAAGTATGTATGTGTGGTCATGTACACGTGTACATCTGTCAACGTGTTCATGTGTGTGTGGTAGTTTTCATGTGTGTATGTGTGATCTTGTGTTTGCATGTGTGGTTGTGTACATGTGTGTGTAGTTGTGGTCATATGCATGTGTGTATGTGTGTGCAAGTGTGTATTTATGATCACGTGCAGGTATACATGTGTGATCATGTGTGTGTGATCTTGTGTGTGCATGTGTGTGTGATTGTGTGCAGGTGTACATGTGTGAACGTGTTCATGTGTGTGTGGTAGTTTGCATGTGTGTATGTGTGAACGTGTGCATGTGTGTACTGTTGTGGTTGTATGCATGTGTGTATACGTGTGGTTGTGTACAAGTGTGTATGTGTGTGTATGTGTGATTGTGTATGTATCTCTGCAGAAGAGCCTCACCATGAGTAAGGAGCAGCTGCCTCCTTTGGCATTTTGGAGTTAAGTTGAATTCATGATGCAATTGTTTTCACCTTGTGGAACCTCGTGTTTGGATTTCTGCCCTTGGATTGGTTTTATTTCTCCTTCTTCCCCTGTGTAGTCACGGTTAAGACGACAGGATGCTGGCCTGAAGACACACTTGGACCAGCTGGACCAGCAGATAAGCGAGCTGCAGCTGGATGTGTGCAGGTCATCCTCTGAGGCCCCGGACAGTGACAGCAGACCCAGCTCAGGTATGGCCAGCCGGTGCCTGGGCCAGGGAGAGCCAGGGCCCTGCCTCCAGTGTACTCTGTGACCATGCAGCATTGCAAAAGTGAATCTGGACACAGTGAGCAGTGCTGGCCCTTAGCCTGTGTCCAGGCTGCTCTGAAACCTAGGGAGGTGGGGTGAGCCTGGAAAAGCATATGTTATTGAAGGTTACTAAAAATGAAAGGCTGTCATTAATTGTGTTGAGAGAGTTCATGAGTACAGTGGAAAAGTCTTTCTTCTGACATAAAAGAGCCCCAAGAGTTTCTCAGCTCCTTCTGGATAGAAGCAGCTTGTCAGTTCTGTTCGTGCTGGGTGACTGGAACATGTGAATGACCCTTTTATGGGCCACAGAACACATGGGAATTTATGTCTGTGGATTCATTCAGTCTAGAGTCTAAAGCATAACTTGTCAGAGACTCAGACAAGGACTTCTGTCCCTCCCTGTGCCTGTCTCCAAGTCACAGGAAAGCATACTGCAGTCACAGCTGGTGTGTGTGGCCTTGGTCACTTTTGCGTTCTAGATAGTATTCCCCACACAACACTTTTTTTTTATTCATTTAGTCACATGTGCATACATTGTTTGGGTCATTTCTTTCCCCTACCCCCCACCTTGCTTCTAGGCAGAACCTGTTCTGCCCTTATCTCTAATTTTGTTGAAGAGAAGACATAAGCAATAATAAGAAAGACATAGCGTTTTTGCTAGTTGAGATAAGGACAGCTATACAGAAATATTCCTAGCATTGCTTCCATGTACAAATATATACAACCCAGGTTGATTCCTCTCTAACTGATCTTTACACTGGTTCCTGATCCCCTTCTCATGTTGACCTCTGTCACTTTAAGGTTTCTGTATTGGCTCCTCTGGAGTGCGGACATCAAACACTTTCAAGTTTTGGGTTTCCTACCTATCCCCATTCCTCCTGTATGTGCTGTCCCCTTGTCATGTGACCCAAGTCCACAACATTACTGTGTTTGCTCTTGATTTAAAGTCCACATATGAGAGAGAACATACGATTCTGAGCCTGGCTAACCTCACTCAGAAAGACGTTCTCCAGTTCCATCCATTTACTTGCCAATGACAAGATTTCGTTCTTCTTCATGGCTGCATAAAATTCCATTGTGTACAGATACCACATTTTCTTGATCCATTCGTCAGTGGTGGGGCATCTTGGCTGTTTCCATAACTTGGCTATTGTGAATAGTGCCGCAATAAACATGGGTGTGCAGGTGCCTCTGGAGTCACCTGCCCACACAACACTTGAGGACAGAGATCCTGTCTTCAGGTCAGGCAGGTCGGAGGTGGGTTGAGTTCGGATGGCAAGCTGTGGTGCCCACCAGACTCTGAGCACTGCTGTGCATTTGTTTTGCACTGTGCTCGGGGCTGGGCTATGCACCCAGCAGTCCTGGGGGCTGAGGATTCTGGAATTGTCCCCACTGTCATGGGGCTGCAGATTAACCCAAAGGCAACCAGGAAGAGAGGGGGTGCCTGAGGCCTGCCTTGGGGCTGAGAAGCTGCCCTTTCTCAGGCAGTGGTTATGCATCTTCAGAAGCCACCAGCCAGGGACAGGGTGGGCAGCTATGGCATGCAGGTGAGGCAGATTCTGACCCACCATGGCCATACAGACTGTTCCTCAGAAGAATCTAGAACATTCCTTCCCTAGGACCATACTCACAGGTCAGCGTATCCAAGGCCTTCTCACCCCTCTCTGGACCGGCACAAGCAGGAGAGAGGATTTAGGGTCCTGTGGGCAGAGTGCCTTGACCAGCCTGTATCTGCTCTGTCCAGGCTTCTATGAGCTGAGTGACATGGGTTCCTGCTCCCTGTCCACCTCCTGCGCCTCTGTGTGCAGTGACCGCCTTTCCCCCTCGCTGGGCAGTTGGCTGCCTGCCTTCCAGCCCTCTAAGGCCAGGCCTGGCATGGGAGATTGGCGACCCCGATCTGCTGATGAGACCACTGTGCCGACTTGGAGACCCCAGCCCAATGAACAGCGCACCAGGCCCCTGGACAGTGCTGAGGATGTAGGCCAACCATGGGACATGTTCCGGCCCAGGCCAGTGTCTACAGGTGAGAGAGGCAAGAGATGATGAGGAGTCTCCTCTAAACGTGGGGGGACCAGGAGGGCCCTAAGTGTGGGGGGACATGGAGCAGGTGTACCTGACATCAAGCAGCCCTGGGGAAGGAGTCAAATGTGCGCATGGTGGGAGGCTGTCCTAATGATGCAGCTGTCTAGTTGTTGTAATTGGACATCAGGAAGTTTAAAAAGTATCCTTCAAAACCCCTAATCTGCTATGTTTGGAGTGAGAATCTAGGCACAAGCAGACATGGACAAGTGACTCAGGTCACCCTCTGCCTTTTCCATGTTGTCCCAAAAAGAAAAGACATCACTTGAGCCTCATTTTCTTTCCAACACAAGACCTGGCATATATTGTCCTCAGTCTCTCCCTGGTGACAGTTCTCAGATTCACTCTCAGGAGCCTGTGGACACCTCAGGGGAGTTTATGCTATGACTCTCTCTGTACCCCATTGTGGCTGCAGACACCCAGCCACGGCAGCCTCCAAACCCTGATGACGTGAGGCACTGAGCTGAATCCAGCTCCCACCCTGTCTCCCTGAGGAGCAGGGATCAGTATGAACACTTGCTGAACCTCCACATGCCTGGAGCCCAGCACCAAGGTACAAGGGTTGAGTGTGAACCATCTCCTGACAGCCTCCTCTCAAGCTTCAAGCCCCACATGGGGAGAGGAAGGTTAGGGTGATTCTTCCCTGGTTGATGTGCGTCTGCATCTTCTCGTTCACAGGTGACCTTGAGAAAGTCCTCCCAGCTGACCTGGGACTCCAGACAGCCAGCACAGATACCATGTCCTCCTCCTTCCTCTGCCAGGGGACAGACATCCCACACCACTCGCTGGACCCCAAGTACCAACGTGACCTGGTGGCCAGAGGTGGCCAGGAGGTGTACCTGTACCCCAGTCCCTTGCATGCAGTAGCCCTGCAGAGCCCCCTTTTTGCTGTAACTAAGGAGACCCCACAACTCAGCAGCCACTCACCCCCCAGGACACCCCCTTTGGGCTCCAGGGATCTGAACAGGACCCAAGCTGGGCCAGTCCGTGAGTTAGGCCCAGCTGGAGCATACATCGACAGGCTTCTGCATCTGCGGAGCCAAAGGCCCCCCAGAGGGGCATCATTGGGGAGCAAGGACCCCCAAGATACGGTTCATCCTCCTCCCCACAGAAGCTGGGCAACCAGAGGTCAGGTGGTGGAAATCAACCTGACAAGCTGGTCTGTGCCCCAGGGATAGCTGGGGGAGGGTCAGCTCAGAGCAGGGTTGCCAGTGGGGACAGCTTCCAGCAGCAGGGACCTGTACCCCTCGACACCCAGACCCCAAGCATCAACCCAGAAGAGGGACCCAAGCCCTGGAATCACTATATCCATGGGGACATCACTGTGGGCCTCTCTCCTTGCCCCCAAACCCAGCAGCCCCACAGTGACCACGGCCAAGACCAACTCCTGTCTCCTTCCAGGACAGTGGACAGTGAGAGCCCCTCTCTGGCCCCAGGGCTCTTTGCCTACCCACCCTGCACCACTGGTGAGGTGTCCCCAGTGAGGCTGAAGATAGGTTCCCCTCAGAGCAAGGCCGTGAAGATCAGGAGAAGGGCCAGTGACAAGGTGCTGAGGTTTGGGAAACAGCCAGCACCACTGCCCGATAGATACCGGGGCACTTACGCTGCTCCCCAGCTGCCCCTGGAGTGGGACCTCTCATACAGGCCCCAGGGAGGCGGGCTCGGGAGGAGGCCCACCCTGGCCAGGGACGCTCCTGGGAGGTCCTGCTCTGAATCCACCCTCTACCCTGTGCCGTTCTTTGTCCCCCTGGTAGTGTCCCGGGGGGAGAGTTGCCAGGCTTCCTCCCAAGCCCTGTTCCCTGTGGAAGCAGCCCCCCTCAGTGCAGGGACCAGGAGAAAACAGCGCAAGTGGCAGTCCACTGTGGAAATCTCAGCCAGGGCCCTCGCGGCCAGTTATCCTGAACCCCACCTGGGCCCCCCAGGCGCACAGCTAGGAGAGAAAGTGGCCCCCAGGTCCGGGGCAGGCCCCTGCTGGCTCGTCAGGATGCCTGTGCCAAGAGTGAGTCGGACCCCTCTGAGCATTCAGCCGAGTGTGCCTCACTCTTCCACTCTACCATCGCTGAGACCAGCGAGGAAGAGGCCAGTGACCACACTGCCAACCGCTTTGGGGACCAAGAGTCCAGCCCTAGTGACTCAGAGGGCTATATCCAGAGCAGCGGTGGCAGCCTAGCAATGGATGGTGCAGAGGCTGGGCCAGGGAAGCTGAACAAGCCTCGGGTGGCCCCCCACAGGGCCCCGGGAGGCACAAGGTTACCTCTGCCCCCCATGCCCAAACTGTGCCGCATCAAGGCATCCAAGGCCCTGAAGAGGAAAATCCGCAGGTTCCAGCCCACGGCACTGAAGGTCATGACCATGGTGTGAGAAGCACTGACCAGGGTGTGACTGTGCTGTCCACCAGACAAGCCCAGAGCCCCAAGAGGCAGCAGGGCCCTTCCAGGCCATGAGTTGAGCAGACTGGGTTTTGTCAAGTGCCACTCTGCTTTAGCTTCTGCAGTCACCCTGGGAGGAATCCCCCAGCAGGCTCCAGCCCTGGACCTCATCTTGAGTTCTGTGGGGTGGTGTTCCCTCCCAGCAGAGAGTCACAGACAACTGTGACAGCATTTTACAAACCACCTTGACTGCCAGTGCTTCCCACATCTGTCCAGTGATCCTAGCCCTAGCTTTCGTCCTTGTTACACTTTGGCTGGGGAGAGGGGGGCAGATGGATACTCCGTTCCAAATCTTTAAGCTGTCCCTCCCAGAAACATTCTCTTGGAGACACTGGGCCTGCGTGCTAGAAACTGGACTGAACGCCATGCTAAACTCACAACGTGAATAAACACTAATTATGCCATTAGCTTCACAAATAAAACACCTACTTTGTGTCCTTTCTCCTGTATCGTGCACCCAAAAGGATGGATTCCAGCCAGGCGGATCCAGGGCTACCTGCACAGCTGTACAAACTAACCCTGCAAACCATGCAACCCCGGTGTCAGCTGGCAGGAACAGTCCTCAGGGTCAAAGCTATTCACCATAGCCTACTTCCCCTGTGTACCCAGTCTCTGTCTTTCTTGGTAGCTTTCTTGGTCCACCCCTTCCATTTCTCTCCCTTCTGTGTCTCATTAAGAAAAAAATTATTCCGTGACGCTTGCTAAAGCGTGGTGGGGAAGCCATTATTCAGAACCATAGAAGTAGGTATAGTGACCCCTGCAACAGGACCGTGTTGGAGAGAGAGATGGGTCGAGACTAAATGAGCCCAGGCCAGTGGAGACTTAAAGCCAAGAGCAAGTGGGAACCAAGTGTCGAAAATAAGCAAGGGGAACAGCAGGGGTGTGGGGGAACATGGCTGAAGCCACCTAACGGGACTCTTGCTGAAGACATCCCTGGGGGGTGATGGAAGTAAGGACCCAGTTCACCTTCAGCTGACTGGCAGGGCCCACGGGCAGGTCAGGAACCTGACTAGAGATTGGTCAAACAAAGACTTTTTGTCTCTCTCTCAATCTCACTCTTCATCTCTCTACCTGTTGGGCCCAGGCATGCATTTCGATAGGTCCTTTCCTTCTCGTTTGATTTATTCTCTCTCAGTCAGGTTTCAAGAGAGTGAACGTGATTGTCATAGGCTCCACAGAGTCCTCTGGCCCTCCTGTGTCTGCCTGATCCTCACTCAGAACCAGCAGGGTGGCAGCAATCGCCTGGCCTCAGCTGGCTTCTCACCAGGGTAAAGTTGCTTCCTCCACACATGAGTCTAATGGCTCCTTAGGATTCACAAAGAGGAACAAGTTGACCATGTTAGAAATGGGACCCAGTCTGTCTGGGCTCAGCAGGGTTGTAACAAGGCCCCAGGCTGTGCTTCCAAGGCAGGTGAGGAGCCCCCCAGTCCCCAAGTTCGGTCATCACCCATAGTATCAGGACAAGTTGGTAGTGTGCCGTGTGCAGGCAATGATGCAGGTGGCAATTTGGGGGAATACTGTAACACACAGAGTACAAGTCAGGGCACCAGTGATACAAAGCCAACCCAAGGCTATCACAGGACAGTCAGGCAGAGGGCACAGAGATGAAGATGAATTCCCGTGTTCCTCAGGGAACTATTTGTCTACCTCAATAAGTTTATAGATTAGCATATTTTTTCCAGAAGACATGGATGCAACCACTCACCTGAAGAGAAACAGGAAGGAAAGCCGCCAGGCGGGCCAGGGCGGGGCAGGCCATGGCCAAGGCTCCAGGGAGGCACCGTCAGGCTTGAACAGAGATGAGCATCCCATCGCTCTCGTGTCTAAAAAGTGTATGGTGGAGTATTTGACTTGAGAAATCTTTCCTAACTTCTGGCGTGCTTGAATTAAAGTCATTTTATCTATCCAAAAAACGTCAAGATAAGGCAGAAATTCAGTATATAAGGATTTGTAAGTTATAAAAATTAACAAAGTTTAATTACGGTGTTAGAGAAAAACACCCTGACATACTTTATTGAATCATATTCGATCACTTAAGAAAATACTGTGTCATCTTTACTGATCAGATTCAGGAATGGGGCCAGGCTCTCCAGAAGGGTTTCTCTGGGCCTACCCTCCATCCCAGGTGGAAGGTAACTGCTGTTTTAGGGACTTGCCAGGCAGTGCTACTGCCTGAAAGCCACCAGGTCCTCAGCATTAAATGCACAGAGCTGAGGAAATCGATGACTGCCCCCAAAAATTCACTTACAGGTTAATTCTACTATCTGCTAAAGGAAAAAGAAAACACGCTGAAATTCGTAGGTGATAGACTATGGACTGTGATCTGGTGATGCCTCATTTATAAACAGTCCACAAACACCTATCGTTAAGGGCAAAAGACGGCAGGAATTCGTCTGGACTCCCTCCCAAACATCCCCACAGGGAGCTGTGACTCCCAGCCTCCTGCCTGCTCTTCAGACCCTCAGCCATGTCACATGGACCCCCATCCTTCAGTAGGTGCAGCAGGTCTCATGGAGGCCTGGCCAGCGAAGCCACACAGCAGGGCATGTTCGTTCACCCCTGTGGCTCCTGTGCCACTTGGTGGCACAGGAGCAGTGAGGCTCCTTCCCTCGTCTTGGTGCTGGGCCCTTTCTGGGCAGGGATGTCCCTCATCACTGCTGTACACTGTCCTTTGCCTGCCCACAGGTCCTGGATCTGACCCCCTGGAACTGAGACGCTGGAATGCCCTGCTGTGCAGCTGTGCAAGTTGCTCCAGGTCCAACTAAGTCAAGTTCAATGCTGCTGTGGCCTGGAGTAAGGACGCAGCAGCGTGGACAGGAGAGTGTGTACACTGTTCTGTAGGGAAGCAGGTCATCGGATGGCCACACAGACGTGTCGAGGGGAAGGGGATACTGCCCAGCACTCTTACTGGGCACTCTTACTCTTACTCTCCAGGGTGGCAGGAGAGGAACTTGAATGGTAACTCCCTGCTTTGCCACCCTGTCTCCCCTGCTGCCTTGGGATAATGGAGCAGGAAGGTGCTACTCAGTAACCAGCAGAGCTGGTGGGGGCTGCCTGGCTGGCAGGGGGGCATTCTGTGAGGCCAGAAAGCAAGGGATCCTGCTTACAGAGCCAAGCAGCAGCAATTGGGAAAAAGTGGTAACAAAACTGCCAGGAAACACGTATCTATTACATCTATAATACATGTGATTTTTTTTACAATAGGAGAGAGCGTGTAATTAAAGACTGAAGTGTAGGTGCCTCCCACAGCATGTTCTGACCAGTGGCCTTTTTAATGGATGGGAATCGGTGCTGTCCCTCCATCACCAGGGAAGGTGAGGGGGTAGGAAGTGCGCTGGGCCTCTGGAATGTCACTCATCTTCCCTCCCCCCTTCCCAGGAATCTTTCTGCATCATAAGTGGGAATCAGGGGCAGTCTCCGGGTTTCTGGCCTCTTCCCAGGCCAGTGCCTTCCCTCTGTCCTCAAAAATCAGCAGCAGTTCAGAGAGAAAAGAAGCTGGCTTCAGAGATGGAACTTAGGAGTGTAGAGAGGAGAGACTCAGACATCCAAACACAATTCTATCTCATGACAGGAAGGATGAGCGGTCGAGTCCATTCTTGGAGAAGGTCTGCAGTGAGCAGTGATGACGGTGACCCTCCAGTGACTGCATCCAGGGACTGTGGGCTGGTGTGGAGGAGCCTCTGGTGTTTGACCCAGTGTGGACAGTACAACCAGGGCTGAGCAGAGGCTGAGGCAAGAGGAGAAGAAAGAATGGGCAGGAACAGGAGGAGGAGGGGTCAGAGCAGGTATCCAGCTGGGGCTGAGGCTGAATGGGGGGCAGGTTCAGAATTCTGTGGGCAACACGAGAGTTCAGGTTCATCTCTGGAGCACGTGGAAAGCTACTACTGAGGAAATCAACAGACACCCCCCCAACCCCCGCCGCCCCGCCAAAGCAAGTGTTGTTTATCTGGAGCCTGACATAGCAAGAGTCATTGTGGTCACTTGCATTTGGCAAGTGACAGAAAGTGTCCTGGTGAAAAAGGGGGTTCTGGGTACCCTGAGGCTGGGGAAGCCACTGGCAGGACCTTGGAGGGACTGCCTATGTTGTGGGTGGGGAGAATAGGGGCCTTCTCTGGTTGGTCCCATGTTGGAGGTAGGGAAAAAACTGAGAAAGCTGTCACTGTGATCACATCCTAACATCTACCTAGGGCCAACTGACAACTGAAGCAGTTATTCTTTGGCCCCTGGGCTCCCTGCAGGTCGGCCTGCAGCCGGCTGGCACTCAAGTTGTGTATTGAGAAAGGGTGGTTTCCCTGCAGGCAGCTGCAGGTGTGGTCACAGCTCTGTTCCCACCTGTGACCTGCCCAGTGTCCCAGCCATTGTCCTTATCCTTTTGTATATTCAGCCTCTCAGAAGCAGGAGGTCATAATTTGATTTATGTTTGCAAAGACCTATTATCTGGGTGGAGACTGCCTCAGAAGATGGGCCTGACCCATGTTTGGCAGCGGGGACCAGGGTCAGGTGAGTAACACAGAAGGGGCCTGCCTGCTGGCTCTGCCAGACTCAGCTCAGGGCAGTGCTGAGACTGTCTCCAACTTACACAGTGGTCACATCCAACAGTGACATGGAGCACAAAGAAGCCAAAGCGTGTTCAATATCATTTATTTATGCTTTGCACTATGTGAGAATTCTGGTTAAAATAAGAATGTCCTTATAGAAAGAATACACTGGGGTTTTTTCTTTTCTTTTTTGATGGTATTTGGGTTTGAACTCATACTTGCTAAGCAGGCATTCTACCACTTGAGCCATCCCCCAGCCCTTTTTGCTTTATTTTTCCAAGTAGGGTCTCATATTTTTGCCCTGACTGGTTTGGATGGCAATCATCCTATTTATGCTTCCATGTAGCTGGGATGACAGGCAAACACCACCATGCCCACCTTTTTATTGGTTGAGATGGAGTCTTACTTTTTGTCCAGTCTGACCTCTAACTGCTGTCCTCCTGATCTTTACCCCTATCCCCGCAAGTAGCTATGACAAGCATAAACCAGGGCACCTGGCTTTTGTTTGTATTGTTACGTGTCTTATTCCATTTAATTTCTGTTTTCCTTTGTCTTTCAGCCATTGCCTCCTAATCAAGAACAGACCTCCCCACTAGACAAAGTGAATTTAGTGCACTCTAACTTCATTGTTCTTAGGAATCACTCCCTTCCATCTTTGAGTTCTCATCCCATTTGGGGATACGTTTGGGAATTTCAGATTTTGTTTTGTGTGGTGCACAGGTGCATGTGGAGAGGAGCTGGTGTGAAGCCATCAGTGCACAGCCTCAGAGCACCTGAAACAGCGTCCTGTTGTGAAGGGGACACCATGAGAAGTGTGAATGGGTGATCAGGACACGTGATCTGCTCTCTACACAGCTGGTTGCCCAACTCC